ATGAAACGGTACCTATTTGATTTATAATATTAACACCTAAATTCGTTCCTTGTCCGCCACCGACTCTATATTGTATGAATAGTGTTGAGTTAGATTTTAAAGCTGCACCCAAAGCTAAATTATTAATATATTTACTTAAATCTAATTGATATCCATTTCTTGCAAAATCTCTTAATTGTTCGTCAGCAGAAACATTACCACCACCAAAAGTTAATTTCATAAACCCTTCAGGCGTATATTCAGTAATTAATTTATTATCTGTAGTTATGTATTTACCGACTTTAACTCCTGGTTGATCAGATACCTTTGTAGGATCTTCAATAAACACTCTATTCTCAACTAAAGCAGGTACTTCATACCATCTATTTTCTAAACCTAAAAACTCCTGTGGACTTGGTACCGTAGAATATTGTGTACCATCTTTTAATAATACACTTGTGATTCCCAATACATTTTTTTCAGGTAAGAAAAGTTCAAAGAATGGTTTAACATCATTTGGAGTTACAACTCTTCTAAACACTTTTGTTACTCCATTAACTACTACTTCTCTTTTTACAATTGTATAGTTAACTAATTTACCACTACCATCAAAATTAGGTATTTTTAATCTATTTGGTGATCCTTCAGCATTAATTGCCGATGCAAAATCAATATCATATACAGTCTCAAAAGGTTGTCCAGCACCATTAACTTGTGAACCTCTTCTCAAAATACCACAATATCTTAAATCTTCTCTATCCCCAAACGCAGGAACGGTAATTGAGAAGTCAACCAATGCAACTGAAGGTCTCAACCCAGGTATTTTTAAACCATAAGTTCTTGCAATATTATATATTGATGATTTTTGTTGTGCGTATTGTAATACGGTTTCTTGGATACTTCTATCAATATTAAAATGTAGGTTGTCGGTTACTGCGGCATTCAAGTCTAACATTACCGAAAATATTCCAGCATCATTAAAATTCTGAACTAAATCAGGATAATAAGTTCTTGTAAAATTTATTAACTCAGTTCTTATTCCCTGAAAATCTCTCGTTGTGTACGATATTTTTTTATTTGCCATATACTATTAAATATTAATAATAACAAAATCACTTGATTCAAAAGCGGTATTAGTCGTTTTATAATCAATTCTAATTTTTGCCGTGTGTTCTAATTGTGATATATTTGAGACAGTATATTCTCTTTTATCCTCACCATTTATGTATGTTCCTTTATTTTCTTCTTCCATTGAGGCATCTGTTATTTTAACATTAGTAACAGTTAAACCTGGCATATAAGTTGATACCGAATCTCTAATCTCTGATTCTATTTCGGAAAATGTAGGTCCATCCAATGGCTCAAAAATATATTCATATAGTCTAGTACCAAAATCAGGTAAAAAATACCTAGTACCTTTTCTTGTTAAAAGTAAATGAATAAGATTACTCCTAACTTCTTCATCTGTTGTATCAGAACAATCTAAATACTTTCCCACATACGAATTTTGAAAGGGGAAATTTATTCCATATGTTACTCCATTTGCCATATCTAATAAATATAATGTTGGGAAGTTTTATATAAATAAAAAATCCCAACATAAGTCGGGATTATATTTTAGGATGAACATCCAAAACAATCAAATTCACTATTTTCAGGTTTTGGTGGTAGATTCATGTTTGAATAGTCAACTTTAGGAACAAACGGTGTCGCCTTAGGTTTTTCTATTTTTGACATATCAACCGCCAAGTGTTTTGCCCCTGTAGAAATTGCCTTGGTTCTAACATAATAACAAAGAGTTTTCAAACCTTTTTCCCACGAGTGGAAATGTGATGATGTAATCTTTGACAATGTTGGGTTCGCCATATAGATATTCATTGATTGTGATTGATCAATAAATGGTGCTCTGTCCGCCGCCATATCAATCAATTCTCTTTGTGAAATCTCCCAAATTGTTTTGTACTTTGGTATCAAATGTTCAATTCGTTTAACTTTTTTATTGTAGTGTTTATCTTCAGTATCTAAATAATTGTTAAAGTTAATATTTTGAATCGATCCCTCATTGATAATGATTTCATTCTTCAAATCCTCAGACCAAATACCCATTTTTTCAAAGTCATTGATGAGGTATTTATTCACAATCATAATTTCACCACCCACAACTCTTCTGTTAAACAACGCTGAATGTGCGGGTTCTGTCATTTCAAATGAACCTGTAATTTTCGCTGAAGATGCTACGGGCATTTGTGCCGTGAATAATGAATTACATACTCCAAATTCTTTTACATCTTCTTTAAGTTGGTTCCAATCCCAGTATCCTGATAAATCACTTTCATTCAATCCCCACATATCAAATTGAAATATTCCTTGTGACATTGGTGATCCTTCAAAGAATTTATATGGTAAGCACTCTCCATTTTTACAAAGTTTATTACTTTCATAGATAGCACCATAATAAATGGTTTCAAAAATTTGTTTATTTAAGATTCTTGCTTCTTCTTCGGTGAATATTAAATCAAGTAGATAAAATACATCTGCTAATCCTTGAGTTCCAATTGCAATTGCTCGTTGTTCTAACCCACCTTTTAACCCTTTGTCTGTTGAGTAACTATTAATGTTAACGACTTTATTTAACGCTCTAACCACTTTTCTAACTTCAGTAAAAAGTAATTGGAAATCAAACTTATTACCTTGAATGAAGTTCTTCAATACCATTGAGGACAATGTACAAATTGCAGTAGTCTCTTCGTCAGTATATTGGTATATTTCATTACACAAGTTTGACTGTTTAATCACACCGATATTTTGGTGGTTAGTCTTTCTATTAGCACTATCTTTAGAACATAAATAAGGAACTCCAGTTTCAACTTGTGATTCAATAATTTTAGTCCAAACATCTTGAGCTTTAACTTTTTTACCTAAACCAAGTGACACTGCCTCACGATAAACACTTTCATATTCATCACCATAACATTCTTGTAATGGTTTAAGTCCTGATTTATTAATGTCGTTAGGACAGAACAAATACCAATCACCATTATTTTTAACGGCTCTCATAAAGTTATCAGGAATCCAAAGTGCGGTAAACAAATCTCTCGCTCTTAATTCTTCAGCACCTGTATTCTTTTTGATGTCAAGAAGATCCATAATATCTTTATGCCAAGGTTCCAAATAAATTGCTGCCGACCCAGGTCTTCTACCTTGTTGATTAAAGAATCGTAAAGATTCGTTAACAATTTTAAGGTATTTCAATAAACCACCAGCATAACCACCTGAACTATTAATACGACTTTCTTTACTTCTTTGATTTGACATGCACAATCCAATACCCGCAGCGTCCGCAGAATAGGTTGAAATATCGTTCAATGTTTCCAACAATCCCATTCTTGAGTCAGAGTTGTTGTAATGTAACACACAAGATGCTAATTGAGGAATTTTTGTACCTGAATTAATCATAATTGGTGTTGCGGGAGATATTCGTTGTTCAGACAATGACTTATAATAATCAAAAGCCTCTTCCATTGTATTAGTTACCCACAACGCAACCCTCATATACATATGTTGTGGTCTTTCAATTACCTTACCTGTTGGTCGTTTCAACAAATACATTTCTTGTAATGATCTCCAAGCAAAATAATCAAAGTTATAGTCGTTATCGTGATTGATTACCGCATCAATAATCTCAGCACCATATTCATTAATTGTGTTAATTAATTTTTCATTAACCACTCCATCATCATACAACAATTCCATAGTTTGAGAAAAACTATCATTAGTTTCTTTATGATATGAAGATATTGCAACTGAAGATGCTAATCTTGAATAGTCGTGGTGACTACCAGTATATGCCGCGGCGATTTCATAGACTAATTTATCTAATTCTTTTGTTGTTATTTCTCCTTCAGTTGGTACCGAGGTAATAACCTTAATGAATATTTCGTCCGAATTAACATTCAAACCTTTTGATGCTCGTTTTACACGATTGTAAATTTTTTGTGGGTTAAATGCTACCGAATCCCCACCTCTTTTAATGATTTTTAATGACATAATTTTTTATTTTTTTAGAAATCGTCTGTAAATGAAATTGTTTCGTTCAATTTTGCTTTTTGGTATTCCATTGTTCTTGATTCAAAGAAGTTACCTTTTGTTTCAACCGCAATTTGTTCCATAAACTTGAATGGTTGCTCAACATTAAATTGTTTCTTACATCCAAACTTAACCAATAATCCATCAACAACAAACTCAAGGTATTGTTTCATCAAGTTAGAGTTCATACCGATAAGTGATACTGGCAGTGATTCTGTAATGAATTCTTTTTCAATTTCAAGTGCCGATAATAAAATCTCTTTAATTCGTTTTTCAGACGGTTTGTTTTCACAATGGTTATTCAACAAGTGAATTGCAAAATCACAATGTAAGTTTTCATCTTTAAAGATTAATGAATTCGCATTACATAATCCTTGCATGATACCTCTTGATTTCAACCAAAAGATTGAACAGAATGAACCTGAGAAGAATATCCCTTCAACTGCCGCGAATGCCACCAATCGTTCTTGGAATGACGCATTTTCAATCCAATCCAACGCCCATTTTGCTTTCTTCTGAACTGCGGGTAATCTGTCAATTGCATTGAAACATTCGTCTTTCTCTTTAGCATTACTGATATAGGTATCAATCAATAATGAATACATTAGTGAGTGAATATTTTCCATTGCCAATTGGAATCCGTAGAAGAATTTTGCTTCAGGATATTGTACTTCTCGGTAGAAATTTTCCGCCAAATTTTCGTTAACAATACCGTCAGATGCTGCAAAGAATGACAATACATTTTTAACAAAATATTTTTCATTATCAGTTAATTTTTCCCAATCACGAATATCATTCGTTAAGTCTACTTCTTCAGCCGTCCAAAACGCTGCTTGGTGTTGTTTATAATATTCCCAAATATCATTGTGCTCAATCGGGAAGATGACAAACCTACCAGGATTTTCTTCTAAAATTTTTTCCATTCTAATAAATTTTTAATTGTTTTGTTCTTTTTGTTTTCTTTTCTCCATCAACTCTTTAACTCGCTGACGCTGTCTTTCTTCTTTTTGTTCCTCAACTCCTAAGAAAGTCATAGAACTTTCGGTATCAATTTCTAACATACCGTTATCGAATTTACAGTTTTCAAATACGATACCATCATCACCAATTCTTGATTTAGTTATCGCAATTGTCGCTAATTTCATTTCTTTTTGTTGTAATGTCTTAGCCACAGAAATAATAACATGACCTACTTGTGCCTTTTTAATAGAACCACCCATTTGATCCGTTGTTACAACTTCAGAAGAAATGGAATTTCTATTACCTTGAGTAGCAGTCCATCCTACAATGTTAAGTTCGTGACACATCGCCTCAAAACCTCTCATTACAGAACCCTCACTTTTCCACTCATCACCTAAATTCTTGTCAGGAACAACACAATCAATGTAATCTAATAAGATCATATCAATCTTAGTTCCATCAGCAATCATCTTTCTAACCTGATTTTTAATTTGGTTCATTGTGATTGTATCTGAAGGTAACTTATTCATAAGTAACTTATTACTCATTGTCTCCTCAATCTCTTTAACTTTAGAAATTACCTCATCCCTTCTTACTGACAATTCGTCAGGATGTATCTTAGTCCATAGGGTATAATGTTTTCTTTGAATGATCTTTGGGTTATCCTCAAAAAATATCTGAAGTACATTATTCCCCATATTAAATGCGTGATTTGCAATCTTGGTTAATAAGGTTGATTTACCTACACCTGTCGGTGCTAATACAACACCAATTTCACCTTTGGCTAAACCACCTTTTAATAACCTGTCAATACCAGGTATTCCCATTGGGATTGGATGTCTATAGTCGTCATCCAAGACTTGATCCAAGTCACTAAAAACACTCATAGTACTTGTGTCTTTCTCCCCTACTTGGAGTGCTCCTCTAAACATTTCTTCAATGGTGTCGTAGTTTTCAAACTCTCCACCATCAACTATTTTTTGAGCCTTGTTCATTACTTTAACTACCTCTTGTTGTTTACAAAACTTAAGAGCCTTTTCTTGTACAAAATCCCCTCCGTCAATAGGTGCATCCTTAATTTTGGTAATCATATCCAAAACAACTTTAGATGCCATTTCTTGTTGTAGTTCTGATTTTGTAACTTGTTCTAATGTATCAAATGATGGTGTATGATTGTATTTTTTATAATACTCTTTCACCATTTGAATGATGATTTTGAAATACTTGTTTTCAAAATAACTTGGTTCAATCACATCAATAATTGAGTGTGAAAAATCCTTGTCTAAAATAATTTGATTCAGTAATTGAATCTGAAAATTGTTACCTAAATAATCAAAGTTTTTGTGTGTCGCCATAGTTTTTTAATTTGTTTGTTAAGATAAATAGTATCAAACTAAACTAAATCCAGCATACTCAATATTAAATTTTTTACCTGAAAAAATGTCAGTTAGGTCGGATAATATCCCTTTTAGTTGTGGGCGTAGGTCCACGGTATATCTTACCTTCGGAGGGTATACTTTAGCATCAAACACTCTATGACAAATTGTCATATCTCCAACTCTAATTATCATGTGAAAGTTCTCATCACCATCAGTATTTGATGTATTAAGAACATCAGGATTCTCCTGAATTTCATACTGATTGTCTAACATATAAACAATCGTTCTCATCTTTAAATCGCTTTTCAATTTGTCACACAAATCTCCAATGTATTCATATACATTAAACGAATTTCTTGACTTAGGATTAAATCCCCTAACATTAAAGAATCTCTGAACGATAATGTTTTCGTTACATTTCAATAGGAATTCCACTTTTGTAAAATCTAAATCTTTCATAAATTTGTTTTTTTGTTTCTGTAATTTGTTTTTTCTTTTCTTGTTAATTTTAAAAATGGTTTTAAGAAATTCACCCAAGCGTCATCACCCTTTGGTAGATACCTGAAGAATCCATCTTCCATCATCATCTTTATTAAGTTTCTGTATCCTCTCCCATCAGGATCCAAAGTTTCTGAATAATATAATTCAACTAACTTTTTTCCTTCTTCATTTATTAACGGGTTGGATAAATCAACTAATATTTGATTTACACTGAAGAACTTTTCCCCAAGTACCCCTTCTTTGGTTTTTCCACTTGATAGATTATTCAAAACTACACTTTTATTTTGATTCTCTAACAACTTCCTACCTTTGTTCAAAATATCGGTAAATGATACTTGCGAATCAAGTATCTCAGGAAATAATTTGACTAAAGTTTTCTCACCAAGTAAACTGATACCATCAATATTATCTGAGGTGTCGCCAGCAACTATCTTAAATGTCTTTATGTTATAATGTGGAATACTATAATCTTTGATTTTTATTTTATCACCATTTTTATAGTATTTTTTTTGTTGTGGTGAATATATTGTCACCTTTTCGGAAATAAGTTGTGTAAGATCCTTATCTGATGAAAATATTGTTTTATCCTCATCTTCAGATATTTGACAATAATAAGCAATTAAATCATCCGCTTCAGAATTATCAACTTCTAATTGTCTGACAAACATCTCTTCAAGATATTGTTTTACTCTCTGTTTTTGAGCATTAAATGAATATGTTTTTTCTTCAGTATAAGACGATTTTCTATTGCCCTTATATTTCGGATAAAGTAATTTTCTTTGGGACGAATTTTCATTACCGTCCCAAAAAACAACTACTTTGTTAAAATTGGATTCTTCTAAGAATTTGCGCAAAGTATTAAGAAAATGCCAAGTTCCTCCAATGTGTTCTCCTTCATTAAAGAAATCTTTAACTCCGTGAAAACCTATTTTTAATAAATTGTTACCATCAACAATAAGTGTCTTGGTCATTTTAATACGATTAATTCGTTCTACAATATTACTCTACTTCTTCATCATATGCAACGGACTCATCTAATGTATAGTTTGAATCTCCCATTTTTTGTACCCAATAATCCGAATATTCTTTTTTGTATTTATCCAAAGAATCTTTTGTATCGGTTATATATCCATGAGGTACCGCAATTATTTTACCATCTTTATATCCAATACCATTAACATGGTTTTTCAAAATAGAGATTTTTGTTCTAATTGCAAATGATACTTTTCTACCATTTTTAGTAGCATCAATATGACTGATACCCGCTTTCTTTTGATTACCAAATAAGAATACTAAACTACTTGCTAACCATACTGCAGTTCCTCCTTTTGCTTGAATCTCAGGTTGTCCGAATGGATTATCGGGAAGTAGTACCCAAGGTTGATTTAACACCACTAAAGTGTTGTAATATGGGTAATCTTCTTTTTTTGATTTAGAGATACGAGAATGGATTCCCATACCAATTTTGTCCGCTAATACTTTCGCATTGTGCATTCCACCACCTTTACCATCAAATGTCATTTGACAAGGGATTGATCCGATACTATCCCAAAGGAATAATAAACTATAAGGGATGTCACCTTTTTCTTGTGCGTCAAGGATATCATTAATGAACTCAGTTGCTTGTTCAATCACATCAAAAGAATCGTTAAAAATGAACATACCATCATATTCACCATCTTCAGTTTTTTCAACTTGCAATCCAAGTTCAATTGCGTGTTCCCATGACCATTTCTTTTCAGTAATAATAAGAACAGGTAAATGTCCTTTTCTTTGAGCATCAGCGGCGGCAAGAATCATTGCAGTTGTTTTTGATGTGTTTGAGTGTCCCAAGAACATATTAATACCTCCCATTACAGGACCTGGTAATCCACAAGCCTCCATAAACGCTTCACCACAGTTATAAAAACTTTCAGGTTTATATTTTGTCTTTGTAGAAAATTTACTTTTGATACTATCAAATGATACTTCTTTCTTTTTAATTGCCATAATAGTTTGTTTTGTTAAAAGATAAAAAAAGGTAGTGACTTTGTAAATCACTACCTACACTATAGGTTCTTTTTTTAGAACGGTAATTCTTCGTCAATTTCCTCATTTTGTTGAGGATCAACAACAGGTGTTGGTTTTGACTTAGTACCTCCGATAGAAATTTCTGCAACCTCATCATTAGCATAAACATACCCACCTTTATCAGAATCCCATCTTGGTGTTTCTCCACGAGAAATTGCTTCAAGATATTCTACAGGTTTTTTAGAGTAGACATCCTCCCAAGTCAATTCATCACTAATCCATTCTTTCATAGTGTCCGTATCTTCGTGAAGTGATGTTGGATCATCGTACATTACAGTTTGGATTACTGTGTAAGTTGCTCCAGCATTTGTTTTTGCCTTTGTTAACTCCAAAATCAAATCTCTACCTTTATCTGCATCGGTAACATCACCTTTTGCTTTCCAAATAGGAATGATTTTGTCAAGAATACCTTCTTGTTTGTAATTGTGCTTGAATCTCCAAAATTTAACACCGTCTTGTTCGTTGTCACGATCAATAACTTTCACGATATAAAATTTACGAGCTTTATATTGTTTGGCAATTTCCTTATCGGAATCTTTACCTGTTGACATTAAATCATCGTGAACTTCATTTAATGGTGAACGCTCATTGTCGTTTTTACCTGGATCGTAAAGTTTAACCCATTTTCCATCTACTTTAACTTCATGGAACCAAACCTCTTTAAAAGGAGATGATCCATCGGTTGTTGGTAGAATTCGTAGTCTTTTCTGACCTTGTTTTTCACTGTCTTTAAGAATTGCAGCAAAATATTTTTTCATTCTCTCATCTTGTGTCATTTTTGAGGTAGAAGATGAACTACCTTGTTTTGAGTTCTCGTACTGAGCCAAAACCGCATCTAAAACATTGTTTGTCGCCATATATTTGTGTTATTAAAAGTTTACAATAGGAAGTATAAATTAAAAAAGTGTCGCAGTCAATATGTATTCAAAAATTTTGAGAGGGACACGGATGTCCCCCCTTAATTAAGGCATCATATCATCGTCATCGTATGTATCAAAAGTATCTTTAATTTGTTTTGGTGAAAAATCTTCAGCCTCATCAGTTGTTAGAATATATTCTTCTCTACCTTGTTTTTCAAACTGATCTTCTTTATCTTCAAAATAATCAGATAGTTTTTGGTTAAAAGGTCCAGAATCTAAACTTCTTAATTCAAGTTTTTCTTCAGGTGTTTTAGGTCGGTATTTTTCAATTTTTTGTTCTAATGAATTAACAGCCGCCATTAAATTATCCATTTCACCCAATCTATTTTCTAAATTTTCAAGTTGTTTAAATAGATTGTCAAAATATTCATCTTGTTTTGTTTCAATATTTTTTTGACTATTTACTAAGTCAGTGATTTCAAGTTCTTCTTTGTCCTCCTCATCTTTACCAACTTCTTCAACCTCAGGATCTTGTGCCACATCAATTGGTTGTGGTGTTGCTCCTGCATCAGGTGCGGGTGGTGGAGGTAAAGCTCCGGGTGCCGGTGGAGCTTCCGCTCCAGGTGCAGGTGGTAATCCCGCATCAGGTGCCGGTAATGGTGCATCCGCAGGATCTGGTTCAACAGGAGCGTCTTGTTCCATTATATAATTATTAATTGACTTATATCTGTTAATTTCTTCTAATATTTTTTTATCTATTTTCATATTAACCATTTAATAATTGTTTTATACCTGTTTTGGTTTCCACTTGGATTTTTTTGTTAGTATTCATTGTATTATCAACTCTTTCTATTAATCCATCTTTCATTCTAATGGTATAACAGTCTCCAGTATCCAAATCACATACTTCTTTATATCCATTTCCTTTATCTTTCTCCGTAACTCTTGTGTTTTTACCCAAGTAGTTATCCAAAATTAATTTAGTATTACTCATATCTATTTTTATTTATAAATATCATAACATTATGAAAAATTAAAGAAGACATTTAATTAAAAACGATTGTGGAACTATTGCTCTTGTCGTATCCGTAGTAATTCCATCTTCTAATACTGGAATAGAGTTAACATTGAATTGAATGTTGTATGTTCCATTTTGGGTACATCCTATCGTAGTAAGTAAATCTTGTGCCGTCATTGTAAATGATTGTTTGTTTGTCGCAATAAATGTTGGTACATTAATTTTAACACCTATTGTTGCGGTACATTCTTCAGGTTTTTTATTAAATATAATTTCAGCTGAATCAATATTCCATTTTCCTGAATTAGGTGATATTACTATTTGCATTTGAATTAACTGATCACCATTGGCTTGGACAACTTGTTTAGCAGGTTTTGGTGCGGTAGTACTTGATTGTGATGTAAATTGTCTTTGTGAACTAACATAATCAGTATAAGCATTACCAAAAAGTTTTTCTAATTTATTTTTATTTTCTTCAATTAAAGTATCAAATAATGACTGTCCCTCATTGGTTGGGTAATTGTCCATATAGAATGTTGCAAATGCCTTACCATATTTGATTTGATCGGAAATATTATTATTTGTTGATACATAATTTTTTATGGTACCTAATTGAGGTCCATACTTGGCAATCATAAAATTCACAAATTGATCAAATGATGAAAATACCGCCATAGGTATGTTCTTACTATTACAATAGTATTTGTTTTCAAATAAAACCGCAGAACCACCATAATTAGTATTCAAAGGTATTAACCCATAATTATTACCATAAGTTTTAAAAATCTCAGATGGTTTTGTTGCAACCGTCATAATACTATATATAAATGATGCTAAAGTTTTTGTGTCGTCACTATTATAGGAACCATTTGTAATAATCAATTCATTTATTTTATTTGCCGCATCTTTTTTATTTATTTCACTAGAACTCATTATCATTAATGGATCACCAGTTGCGTTTGTAAAGTTTTTATATGACTCATTAAGTGCTGAGGAACAAGCTTGATTAACATTAAGAGTGGTATTAGTTTCACTAACATTATCCAATTTAGTTGCCGTTTGAGATAATGTATTTACAGATTGTTGTGTCTTTGTTTCTTCATTCTGTTTAATCCTTTCTTGAATATCTTTTAGTATTTTAGTACTAATTGATTGTATAAAACTTTCTATTTTAGGTATACTATAAAAAGGTTGTCTTTGTCCTTCAAATGTCGTGTCAAACCCATTTTGAGAAATTCTATGACTTACTTTTAATATCATATAAGGCCCACTAAATAGAGGAACATTTCTTAAATTAAAGTACATCATAGGTTGTATCAACGCATTACCCATCATATCAATAGAACATTTATAACTTCTATTTTTATATAGATTATATAATGAAACACTTTGTGTGTAACTTCCTCTGTTTCTATCCTGATTAGCCATTTGGTTTAGAACTTCCAATGATTCGGTAGTTGGTAATCCAGGATCTTGAGATACATCAATTTGTTTAAAAATTTGTTGATTTTGTGGTCCAATATCAACATTGAATCCGACAACTTTATTTGATGTTGCCCAATCCGTTTTGTTTTCTTGATTTTCCAATAATGGATTATCTGTTGCTCTTCTTAAGTCAAAAGCATCGTCCCTATATCTGTAATCGACATTATCGTTAAGTGCTAAATGTTCACTTGGTTTATTAGCATATAAACAAACAAACTTTGAACCTGTTTCTCTATAATCAACATTTAAATAAGTACCGAATAAAGTATTGGCAAATTCTAAAGTACCTTCAGGTCTTGGTACCGCATTTTTACTAACATCTCTAACATTATAAAAATTCGCAAATGCGGGAATAACAAAGTTAACAAAATTATTTTCAGTCAATATTGTTTGTACAATATCCAACATATTATTTTTAACAAGAGAACTATCAATTAATGTTTTTAATTTGAAGATATCCACATATATTTGTTGTCCTACATCTCTACTGGCTCTGTCCATTAAAAGTACATCTTCAAATAAAGTCTTACTTTTAAAGTCGGTACCTGAAATCCATGTGTCGTTAATGGTTTTAAATAATTCCCATAATTCATATCTAGTTTGATCACCTTCATAATCCGCCCTAACTTTAGTGTTTGTTTGACTAATATTAACATCAGGAAGTTCTTTCCTCAATCTAGTCATTTCTAAATCTAATAAAGTATTAATATATGTATTACTTTTATTAATATAACCGTCCATTAAAGTCCTAAACTTTGTGGAATTAAAATTGTTGTCTTCTAATTTTTGAGTGGCATATATTTTAATTAACGGTGATAATGTCTTAATCGAATTTTCAGTAAATTCAATATTCATATCTAAAAAGAAATCGGTAATGTATGAACCGTTATCACTATAAACTAATTCTGGTATCTCAGAAAATCCTACATAAGTTTCTAAAGTTTTCCAAGTTTCAGGATTTTGTGTTTTAGACTGTGATAAAGTTATTGACCCGCCAGCACTTGGTAAACTATTTGGTGAACCAACATTATACCCTTGGAAACTATACGGATCAATTAAGATTTGATTTGAATATGTGTAAAACAATTTCTTATCAAAATTAGATGGGTTACCATATTTCATGGTAACTTTATAATCCATAAATGTTCCTAATACTTGTTTGAAGTTACTAATTTGTGATTCTTGTATTTCATTAATAACAACTGATCCGTTTATGTTATCTTTTGGTTTTGGAACTTTCATTAACGATCTCATTAGAGATTGGAAATTATTGTTTGTAATTTCAGTATCAGTATCAACCCCAAGAGTTGATTTTATATTTGAGTTATAATCATATACAGAACGGCTAAAATTTAAAAACTCGTTCTCCATTATGTCTAAAATATCTTTTTCAAATGTTGTAAATAACTCACTTATTTTTGTATACTCAGACGATACCCCATTAATTGAGAATGCCTGTTGTATTGATTCATCATTTTTAATATGTTTTAAATAACTGTTTGGTGATGGTTTGATTAATCTATCATTATCAAAATATCCATAATTTGGTGCTTTCCAAAATAATCTAACTGAACCATTATAAACTGCGGGGTTATCAACAACTTCTGTTGCTAAATCACCATTAGTTTTAAAACACTCATCTTTAGTTTGATTCACTGAAGACCCAAATGATGGTATTGGGAATATATTGTTACCATCTGATGTTGTAACAAAACAACTCCAAGATTTCAAACTTAAAGAACGATTTAAATTACCTGAATCAAATCCTGGTAATTTATTTATTGTTGATCCTGCCGCGGATTTTAAATATAAAATATTATCATCTAAAACACTTTGTATCTCACTATTTGAATACGATTGTGCCGGTGGGTTAGTGACATAAAAACTAATTGCCGTTGTTGCGGTTTGTGGTATATTAATACCGTAAACACCAACACCACCCAAAGTACCACTAGTTTGTCCCGTAATTGTAGTACCTAAAGTTATACCATTACCTGATAGAATAGCACCATCAAATAAATCATTACCACTAACCGTACTAACAGTTAATACATTACCCAATATTGTTGCAGTACCTGAAATTTGTACTTGAGTTTCAAATACTCTTTTACCTTGGTAAAATACATTAAAGTCATCAATTAACTTAGGATAAAATCCTGTATTAATTCTTGTTTGTTCACTTAACCCATTAATAATAGTGTCTTGTAAAACGATGTCTTGTGGTATTCCATCAATAACTAATGAATATGTTTTAGTAACCGCACTATTTTGGGGATCATAATTATCTGAATAATTAAAATTAGTCCACGCATCATCAAGAATATCAACCCCATCTTCTGTCCAAGTTTTATATCTATGCCAGATGGATCCATATTTAAGTACCCACGCATATGGTATTTTATGGATTCCACCATATTTTTTAAATGTGGATATAATGTAATTTAAATCTGAAAAACTACCATCATTATCTTCTTTATATTTTTCTCTTAAAGTTGCCAATGGTAAACTATTCAAGAAAAGATATGATGCGGATTTAAACGGATATAGGTTATCTGTATATCTAAAATCATACACCCCTTTTTGAATTGCGTTAATAAAATAAGGTGTGTTTAGAATTGATGTCGTTTGTTCTGACACCAATTTATTGTCATAATCAAAATATGAAATGTTACCTTCAGTAGTATATTGATTCTTTATTGTTCTTGTGTTATAAAAAGTTTTTAAATCTGCCAAAATAATTGGTTGATTAAATGTACCACTATTATTTGATTTATAATTAAAACTTGTTACAGGTTGTTTGTCTTTAGCATCTACAGTGTCATCATAATTTGTTATACTTTTTATGATTGTATTATACTCTAAAACTTGATTAGTTTTAAAGACATCTTCCTTCTTTTGAATATCTTTTCCGTCCGCTAAATAATTTTTTATCCAACCCAAATTAGTTATTGGGTATGTATCGGTAAAATCAAAATTTTCTACGATGTTCGCATTACCGAAATAATCTTTAGCATATGAATTATCTTTAATTGATAATAATGGTTGTGACTTTTCATTAGTTAAAATATCTTGATTATACAACTTAAATGATGCATTGACATCATTTTTAATATACGGGGTATTGAATTCTCCTCTAATATAATTTTGCCAAGATTCTCCAGTTCCTCCGTTTGAAATGTGCCTTAAAAAGGATAAATAA